TAGCAAGACAGATGTACCTTAAGAAACAAGAAAAAAATCACAAATATTATATACCTAAATGAAATACAAGAATGCACTCACAATGGAAAAAGAGAGAGGAAACGTGCACAAATAAGATCAGACACGAAAGAGAAGTTACGACAGACAGACAGAGACTCTTCAGAGGCTACTGTGAACGCCTCCATGGCAAGTTGGACCATCCTGAAGAGACAGACCTGTTCTTAGAGTCATGGACTGCCAGGACGGCAGGGGAAGACACAGAGAATATGAACAAGCTAATTATGCGTCAGGAAATTGAAACGGTAACCAAAACCTCCCCCCCCACACTCAACTTTTAAAGAATTAATACCTGTCCTCCAGCGCTTCAAAAAAAAAAAAAATAGAAAAGAAGGAACAAAAGGAAGGAGAGAATCATACGATCATCTCAACAGACACAGAAAAAGTACTTGGTGAGATTCGACATCGTTCAGATGCTTCTTTTTTGCTGCCACATGACTTTTGGGATTTTTAAACAATGCCCTTGGGGTTTTTGATAGGGATGGATGGAATTTAAAGTTTGCTCTGGGTAGATTGGACATTTATTTATTTATTTTAAAAGATTTATTTATTGATTGATTGATACAAGCACTGGGTACAGTCAGAAGCGCGGGAGGGTGAGAGAATTCACCAGAGCCAGAGCGGGGAGCAGAGCAGGCAGAAGGACCGAAGGACACTGCTGAGGGGAGCAGCGGGCGGCAGGAGAGGTCTGCGCGCCATGCGGGACCCTCCTCCGGTGGCCGGGGAGGCTGAACCGGTGCCACTGAGGCTGTGGGCAGCTTCGCAACCCAGCGCTCAACCGCTGCGCCACCGGGAAGGCCCTCTTTCTTTCTTTTTAAGATTGATTTATTTATGCATATAAGAGCTGGGATGTAGGCCAGAGGTGCGGGAGGGTGAGAGGATTCATCAGAGACAGAGTGGGGAACAGAACAGGAGTGACTGAAATACACTGCTGAGGGGAGCAGCGGGCGGCAGGAGAGGTCTGCGCGCCATGCGGGACCCTCCTCCGGGGGCCGGGGAGCAGCCGGGGATCGAACCGGCGCCGCAGAGGCCGCGGGCAGCCTCGGAACCCAGCGCTCCACCGCTGCGCCCCCGGGGAGGCCCCAGGTCAGACATTTAATCATGTTAATTTTTCCAGCTCCAGGACAAGACTGTCTTTCCATCGGTGCTTGTCCTGAATCCCTTTCGTCACTGCCTCCCGGTTCTCCGTCTGCAGATTCTTCACACGCGTGGTGAGCTCTGTTGCTCGGTACTTCATTCTCCTGAACGCGTCTTGCTGTTTCTTAGGGTCCTTCCCAGGCGGCTGGTAATCGCGGCGGGCATGTCGCTGGTGCGCTGCGTGGGCGCGCGCGTGGCTTGGTGTCCCCTGACCTCACTGAGCTCCTGCGTGGGCTCCGCCAGCAGCTCGGGCGTGGGGCCGCGAAGCTCCGGGTTCGGCCTCAGGCCGTGTCTGCCGGCGGACACCTTCGCTTCGTCCTTCCTCCTGGGGGAGAATCTCTTCCCTCTTCTTGCGCAGTGGCTCTGGCCAGTGCCCCGAGGACGGCGCGGGCCGGGCGCCGGGCAGTGGACGCTCGAGGGAGTCTGTTCCCGACCTTCGAGGAGCCGCTTCCCGCCGCTCCCCAGCGGGGGGAGGTCAGCGCGGGGTGGCCGGCCCGGCCTTTATTGTTTCCAGGTGCCGGCCCTCGCGCCAAGTAGGTGGAGAGCTGTTGCCACGAAAGGATTACAAACGACTTGTCGTTTGTCGGCGTGAATTATTGGGGTGATCTTGTGGTTTTGATCTCCCAGACTGTTCACGTGGTGCCTCAAACCCGTTGGTTGGCGCCCGGCGCCCGCCCCCCCCCCGCCCCCGCCCGCCCCCCGCCCCGTCCCAGCGCGCCAGCGGCGCGGCTGTGAGAGGGGTCGCCGCTGGAAACCATTTCTGAACGCGCCGGAGACCCGGGGCTCCCCGAGACGCAGGCTGCCCAGGCGCGCGGGACGCGGGGCGCCCTCGGGCTGGCTTTGCTCCCCGGCTTTTCGCGGTGCGCTTGGGTCTGGGCGCGAAGCCTGCCCCGCAGGGTCGGACGGCCGCGGCGCGCCCCAACCCCCGCCGCCCCAGGGTGCGGAGTCTGAAGCCCCCTCGCCGCCCACCCCTCGCTCCCCCTGCAGGAGCCAGGCTGCGTGGGGGGGCCCGGGCTCCCGCCCCTCGCCCGGACCTGGCCACTCAGGGTCCCCGGGACCGCCCGCGGAGCGCGGGGCGCGCCGCCCCATCGGAGCCGGGACTACACTTCCCAGAGCGCCCCGGGGCGCGGGCCCCCGAGCAGACACGACGGCGCGGCGCGGGGGCCGCTGGGGCGGGTGGTTCGCGGGCGGCGCGCGGGGCACTAGGGACCGAGTTTGAATCCGGCCGAGCGCATTCGCGGCTGGAGCGGGCGGCGCGCGCCGGGCCGGCGGCGGGAGAGCGCGGCGCCGCCGGAGGTGGGGGCCGGGCCGGGGCGCGGGCGGCGGGGCCGCGGTGAGCGCGCGGGGCGCGGCGGCGGGGTCCGCGGGGGGCGGCGGGGGGCGCCGGCGTCCGGCTCCGGGCGGGCGGCGGGTCTGCCGCGCCGCGTCCGGCTCCCGCGCCCAGGCGGGGAAGGACGAGTGGACGCTCCAGCCGGGACGCTGCGGCCGAGCGCGGGGGCCCGTCGGGCGAGGGGGGCGCCCGGCCGGGGTGGGGGGCGGGCGGCTGCGGCGGGGGCTCTGCGGGCGCTCGCGCGTCCTCGCCGCGGGGGCTGCGCGTCCGGGCGCGTCTGCGGCGGGCGGGTCCGCGCTGTGCGCACGGGGAGCCCCGGGACCGGCCGCCCGGGCGAGCTCCGGGCTCGAGTGTGCGCCCCGCGGGGCTGCGGAGGGCGCGGTGCGGGCGCGAATGAGGCTCCGCCGTCCCGCCCAGCCTGGGGCTCGCGCGGGTTTCTGCCGGGGCGAGCTCGTGTGCGGCGGGGAGCGCGGCCCTGGGGTGTGTCTGAGTGTGCGCCCGAGTCCTGTCGTGTGCGTGTGTGCGCAGATGCCCCTCCGTGCCTGGAAGTGCGGGTTTGTGCCGTGAGCCGGGACGCAGTGCGAGCAGCGTGTCCACACTGGCGGGGCGGCCCCTGGGCACGCACGGACTCGCCAGTCTCCAGCCCCCGCGCGGCTGATGTAGCCCCAGGCAGGAGGTCACGCCTGCTGCAGCAGCCGCGCGGGCGCCCTCCCTCGGGGCTGGGGTGCATGGGGCGGCCAGGGGCCTGGCCCCCTCTGGAGCGGCCCACTTGCCTGGCCGTCGAGCCTGGGGGAGGCGCCCCGCAGAGGGCTCAGGACGCGGTGGGCAGGGGCGGGCCCCGGGTGCACCCCCGGTGGTGCCCAGCCCCGAGACCCGCTGGGGTCACAGCGAAACCGGGGAGTGGCCCCCCAGGACACCGGGCCCAGGACTTCTCTGGCCACAGAAGAGAACGCTGGAGGGGGAGGGGGGCGGCGCCAGGCTCATTGGCCTCCCCCAAAGCTGAGCTGGGCCAGGCCGCAGGGGACGCGTCTGGGCTGTGCGGAGGGTCCCGCGGGAGGCGCTGCCCTGCGGGGCGTGGGCCCTGGGGCGCTCAGAGGGGGCCTGGAGGGGCAGTTGCCAAATTGGCGGCTGGGATGCAGGAGAATGTCGGGGCGCTGGGGAGCTGCAAGGGCAGCTGGAGCAGGGTGGGGCGGTGTGGAGGCCCCAGAGGGTTTGGGGGGACACGATGATGTCATAAATATTTGGAGGAGGAGAAGGACGTCTGGAAAACGAGGCTGAGCGCGGCGAGTCTGCGGGGCCCAGCGGGCGCCGGGTGCTGGGCGGGCAGGTCTCTCACCCGTGCCTGAGCCCCGGGGGCAGAGCCGCTGTCCGCTGTGTGGGGTGCGCGCAGGCTGGGGCGGAGGCTGGGGCTGCTTCCGCACAGCGGGGCGGGCGGCCGCCAGCCCGCCGCCTCCCCGGCTGTGTCCCCCGTCCTGCCGTCAGAGTAACGCGTGGACGCTCCTTTTCCTAGGGACCCCCCAGCCCTCCGCGCCCCAGCCCTGGCCGGCGCTCCCTGCGGTGCCCAGAACGCGCGCTCCCCCTTCGCGGGCCTCGACATGCCGCGTGGGAAAGCCAAGGCTGCAGCCCCAGGCCACCCCGCGTCTGAGGGCGGCGCGGGGGATGGAGCCCGCGTCCTTCGCGGCCGGCGCCCCGACGCCCGGGAGTCCCGCCCGCAGCGAGGGCCTGGGGCGCGCGCGAGGCCGCGTCGGGGCCGCACCCCAGGCCGGGGCGGCGCGGAGGTGAGGCCGCCGGCGCCGCGGGAGAAAGCAGGTGAGAGGCGCCCCCGCGGAAGGGTGTGCGCAGGGGGAGGGCGGGGCTCCAGGAAGGGGCACCCCCACCCCAGCATCGCCCCCTGGCGGTCCCGGGTGGGGGGCGCCGCGCCCCGCGATGGCCTGCCCCGCTCTCTGCGCCCCTGCTGGTGCGTCTCCCCACGGGACCCGGGTCGTCCAGGCGCGAGACCGTGCCCACTGCCAGGGCTGGGGGTGGCGAGCACAGCTGCGGAGAGGCCGGGGCGGGGGACCCGCACTCCGGGTGGGGGGGTTGCATCCCCGGGGGGCGCCGGCAGCCGAGGTGCGGCCTGGGCGCGGGCGCGGTGGAAAGGCGTCCCGGAGCACGCTGGATGCACACCCCCCCCCATCCCCGCATCCCAGCTGCAGCCTGGCCAGGCCACTCGGGCGGGGCTCCCAGCCCCCCTCCTCGAGGGCGCCCCGCCCCGTCTGCCGCAGACTCCGGAGCCCTGCGGCCCCGCCCCCGCCCCGCCCTGGACAGCCCCGCCGCCCCAAGGCGCGCAGGCGGCTCCCCCTCTGGGCTCGCCTCTTCTTTGCTAAAGTGGGGGACGGGCAGGCACTGGGGGCGCGGGCGGGTCCTGGCCCGGGGCCCCCCGCTCAGCAGGGCCTTCCTGACGCCTCCCTCCCCCCAGCCCTGCCCGCCACGGAGCCGGCCCCGACGCCGCTGCGCGGGAGGATGCCCGCCAGCCCCCTGCCTGCCTGGAGCAGCGTAAGCTTCTCTCCCCTGGGGGGGGTACCCAGGCGCCCCTGCCCCCCGGGATGAGACTGTTTCCCCGAGGGGACGGCTCCTTGGGGGTGCTGCTCTCTCTGCTGCTGCTCCCACTGCTGCTCGCAGCCGCCGCCTCCAGGAAGCCTCCCCTGGCCACCTCCTCCCGCCGCTCCCCAGCCTGTCCTGCTCCATCTCCTTGCCCGGAGCTCCCCGGCTAGGCTCGTTCATCCCCTCCCAGACGAGCAGGGGCTCCCTCCGCCGTCCTCCGACACCGCCCCCCCAGCCGGGAGCCCGTGTATCCCAGGCTGGCATCGAGGGACACTCAGGCTCTGTCCTGGGGCCTCCTGTGCCCCCCGCTGGGCTGCTCTGCCCGGGCCCAGGACGCGCACTGCAGGGCGAGAGGCCGGAGGACAGCACCGAGGCTCCCCTGGATGGGAGCGGTGGGGTGTCTGCCCCCACCGGGGGGAGCAGCTGGGGAGGCACCCCACGCGCAGCCCTCCAGGCCCCGCAGCTCCCGCAGGCCGAGCTCGTCTCTCCGGCGACACCAGCCCCGCGGGCAGCGAGTGTTTTAATTTTGCGAGCGCAGGTCTGTGGGCAGCGGGGAGCACCCCACAGGTGGGCGGGGGAGGGGCCGCCCCCAAGATCCGGTGATTGGAAAAGCGCTTCGAACTCAGACCTTGCGAGGACAGATCCCCCCGCGGGCGGTTCTGTTCCCTGCGCTTCCTGTTCCTGCCTCAGTTTCCTCCTCTGCAGCGCGGCCGGCAGGAGCCCGCCCCAGGCGGCGGCAGGACCGTGGGTCGCGGTTGTGCCCTTCAGAGCAAGGCCCGGGGTGTTGGCAGCAGAACGAGGGGAGGTCGCTGGCCCCCGGGGGGCCCTCGGCTCCCAGAGCCCTGAGTGCGAGGAGACCCGCCTCCCGCCGCGCCCGCCCCGCCGGGGTCAGACTGGCCTTTGTCCTCCGGTTCAGGGGCGCGGGCGGAGGCCGGAGGCCAGTCGTGAGTGTCCCCAGATCACACGGGGCTGAGTGAGTGTCCACCCCGCAGGGTCGCCCTGACCGTGTGCCCCGGCCCCCCCCAGTCGACCCCACCCACGGGCTAACGCTCCCTCCCGTCTGGCTCCTTGAAGCCGCCTGCGGGCTCCTCTGCCCCAACCTCCCCCTCCCCCTCCCCCTCCCCGCCCCACCCCTTCCTCCCTCCCCTCCCTCTTCCCTACCCCTGCCCCTCCCTCCCCTCCCCCCAGGCCACAGTCTGAACGCGCAGTGCAGGCCCGTCCTGAGCGCTGAGCATCTCTCCTCCGGCGCCCCTGGCTGCGTGGGGCACTCGGGCGCCCGCTCTGGGCCGGAGCGGCGGTGACGCAGGACGGGGTCAGCCCGCGGCCCAGCTGGGGTCTGTGTCCTGGCGAGCAGCTCAGCCCCCCCACCCCGCATCCCTGCCTCTCTGTGCCAAGGGCCCCCAGGGGCGCTGGCGTCTGGCCCCCGGGCCGGGTCAGACCCACTTCCAGGGTGGAGTCCTGCTGCTGCTCACGCCCGCGAGCTCCCCAGGGCCAGAGCTGCGGGAAGGTGCCCCGACTGGCAGGCACCCTCCCCGCGGAGGACGTGGTGCCGTGCGCAGCGCTGACCCGCGCCGGGAGTCCATGTGCCCAGCGCCCGCCTGTGATGGCAGAGGGCGAGCGAGCCTCCCAGCCCGCGCCCGGCGGCCCTTGCACACGGGCGAGCTGGCACCCTTGGGCGCCGGCCGAGCGGCGGGCACCGAACAGGCACCTTGCCGTGTCTTGGTTCACTTCAGACTCAGACCCCGCGGTGGTGCGGGTGTCCCTAGTAACGAGGTCGGAGACTGGAGGCCCAGAGGCCTCGCCGCCGGCCGGGCCGAGCTTCCAACCCATCCATTCTGGCCCCGGGTCGCCAGCGGGCATGCGGCCCACCACGTGGCAGCCGGCTCTGCCCGCCAGCTTCTCTGAGCGGGTTCTGGGCGCGGGCCGCCGGCGCCATCTACTCGTCTCGCCCGCCGCGGCCGCTCTCTGGCGCCCAGCAGGGCTCGCACACAGTGGGGGCACAAGGGAGAAGCCGACTGCCCACGCGCCTTTCAGACCTCGGCTTCGAGCACGTCTTGCCGCCGCCCTTGTGGCTGGAGAGCCGCGCTGTGCCCAGAGCCGGAGCAGGGGGCTGCAGCGAGGGCCGGGCGCGGGGGACGGAGGGCGCCCCGGTGCCCGCTGGCTCTCCCGGCGAGCGCGGGGCGGCCAGGTGGACGAGAGTGGGGGTTGCTGTTGCAGGGACCCGTGTTCTTCAAGGACGTGGCCGTGGACTTCAGCCCGGAGGAGTGGGAGCTGCTGGCGCCGGCCCAGCGGGAGCTGCACCGCGACGTGATGCTGGAGACCTACCGCAGCCTGGTCTCGCTGGGTGAGGGGCCGGGGGGTGCCGGGCGGGGCGGGCACTGCCTGCCCTCGAGACCCGCGGTGCTGGCCTTGTCCCGGGGCTGCCTCTGGCCACCACGCGCGGCGGGCGGCCCCGGAGGACCCAGCATGTCCTGGTCACGCAACAGTCGTGGCCCGTGAAGTGGTTCCGTGCAGCCTGGAAAGCCTGCCTCGTGCCCGCTGGCCCCGACGACCCGTGCACAGCGGCCGTCACGGTGACCAGCGCAACCAGGAGTGGGCGGCACCCACGGAGGGGCTCTGCTTCCCGGGAACTGCGGGGACCCCCAGCCTCAGGGGCTGAGCTGGTGGGAGGTGGAGGCTGGGGGGCAGTGACCCCGGCCCCCGGGGACCCTTTCCACCCACGGAGAGGGTGCACGCGTGTGTTCCTGGCGAGGGGCGCCCATGCTTTGGCTTCTCCCTCCGCGGCGCAGGGCATCAGTTCTACAAGCCGAGGCTGATCATGTGGCTGGAGCAAGGGCAGGAGCCTTTCCTCAGGGCCCCGGCGGCGCCTGCAGCCCCCCGGCCGAGTGGCTCGGGCACCAGCAGTGGCGGCACCAGCAGGGGCGGCGCCCGCGCAGGTGAGCGGGGCCGTGGGACCCCCCAGGCGCCCACGCACTGGGGGGCTGGGGAAGGAGCAGCACGGGCCGCGTCTCCTTCCGCCCGTCGGGTTCTGTCGCTGTCAGTCTCCCGCCGAGGTCGCTGCCGTGGGCTGCGCGTCTCCGTCCCCTGGCGGCTCACCCGTGTCCTCGCCTCAGCGACGCGTCGTTGATCTGTGGGCCCGTCGTCGTTGTCTTCTTCCCCGTCGGCGCCTGCGGGCCCCTCTCTGGGAGTCGTTGTCCACCCACCACCCACCCCCCAGTCACGCGGCCTCCGCCCACCGCGCAGGGAGCCGACGGGCGCCAGGCAGGGAGGATCACCCTGGCTCCTTGTCTTTCCTGCTTCGGGCGCGCCTTCCCGCGGGCTCCCGATCTTCGTCTTCGTGCCGAGTTCGTGGGTCTGTGGCTTGCTGAATTCCCACCCCCGCTCCAAAATCCTTCACTGTGCTCCTTGGTAGAGAGGACCCCGTCGCGAGTGGGGAGGGAGCCGAGGGCTGAGCAGAGCCGCGCGTGGAGGCTGCTACCCATGTTGGGTAGCGTTCTGGCCGGGGAGGGCCCGGTGGACACGGCCTGTTCCGCGGGAGGACTGCAGCGAGGGCGTCGCGGGGGGAGCCCGCGTGGGCAGTGATGAGCGCGGTCGGGGTGAGGCCACGGAGATCCCACCTGCGGGGTCAGAGTGGCTGCGGCTTCCTCGCGGAGCTTCCGGGGCGCAGGGACCTTCAGCGATGGGGCCACGGCTTGTCCCGCCAGAGGGAGGGAGCGTCCGGGCACCCCCCAGGGAGCAACGGGGTGGGTGGCCCACAAGCCCTTTCCTTGCAGCAGGCGCCTGGGCCCGGCAGGGGCGCCCCGCCTGGCCCTGTGAGTCGAGGCCTGGACGCTGGCGGGAGGCGCTGCAGAGCACCCTCCAGCGAGGCCCCGTCAAGCGGGAGAGAGCGAGGCCTGGGGAAGCCCCGGGCCCAGCCGCGTGTCCCGAGCGGGGCTGGGCGCTGACTCCGGAGCCCAGGGCCGCAGCGCGTAGCCGGTCTCGAGGCCACGGGGACGCCAGGGGGACGCCAGAGCCCCGCCCGGCGGGTCATCCCTGTGCAGGGGCGGGGGTGGCCAGGGGGATTGAGTCAGTCAGCAAGTGGGTCCCGAGGGTCGGGCCTCGCCGGCGGGTCTGACGCGCCAGCTGGAAGGCGCGGGGGGCGCCGATCCAGACGGAGACCCCGGCCGGGCTCCAGGCAGCCCCGGCGTTTCCCCGACCAAGCGTGGAACCAGGTTTTCCTTTCCTGACAGTCCGGCGCCCCCTTCTCTGCCCACCCTCCGGGTGGCCCCAGGATGCAGGCCCAGGCTCACTGCCCCCCTGGGGATCCGGGGCTCCCCGGCCCACTCGTCCGTCCTCTCTGTCCCATCGCCGGCACAGCCCTCCCGGGCGGGCCCCGCCCTACGCGCTTCCAGGGGCCCCGCGGGGACACCGGCATTGCTGTGGCGACACGAGCCCGGGGTCCCCTGGACTCTGTCGGGGCACAGGAGCAGCCTCCCATTCGGGGGGTTTGGGGGGCGCAGCACGGCCGGGATGCTCCTGCCCTCCGGCCGGTCACTTCGCATTTTCCGGGCAGTGGTGGTTCTGCCGGGGCCGGCGCCGGCTGCGGGGACAGGACGAGCCGGGCGGGGACGACTGGGAGGCCTTCAGGCCGGTGTCCGGAGTCGGCGCGGGGACGGGAGCGAGCGTGGGGGCTGTGGCGGGGCCGCGGGCGGGTAGACCCGGCGGTGGCGGGCGCGTGCGTGACGCGTCTCTGGCTGTAGCTGAGGAAACAGGACGCGACAGCCTGTCCTGGCGGTGCAGCCTGCGCCCCCGCCGGGTCCCGGGGCTGCCCCTGAGCGCTGCTCTCAGCGCGGGACCCTCCGTGTCTCTTCCCCTCAGCCTCGAGGGCGGCGCTCGGGTCCTTGTGGGAATTTTCTTTAATGGGCTCTTTCCTCCCGAGGTCGCTGCCCCGACATCACTTCCGTTCTTCTTTCTTCTGTGGCTGATCACCTCCCCCTGGGCTTTCGCCCTCCTGCTTTTCACTTCCTTTGGAAAACATTTTCTTCTGAGACACACCCCGCCCAGGGCGTTGTGTGACTCAAACTGAGCAGCCCCGGGGCATAGGCCTGTTGGGGGGTCCTCACCTGCTTATACCTGCAGGTCGGGACCCAAAAGCAGGCACCTCGGAAAACAATGACTGGATTGATTCTCACGGGGACTGAGAAAGGGGCGGGGAAGCGTGGTCACAGGCTGGCACGTGGCGGATGTCGTGTGTCGTGCTGTGGCGAGCTCGCACTGAACAGACCAGGGTCCAAGCCAAAGCCGCTCGTGGCGAGTGGCAGCTTCTCCTCACACACTCCTCTTGGCCAGTGGTTTAACTTGGCAAAAGGCCAGCAGTTTATCTGGTCAGAAGTCTCAGCTTGGCCCTATTTCACATCAGCCCTGCACAGGGGGTGGACTTTGAGAAGCTCCACTTATTTTTTTTTTAAAGATTTTTTTTTTAATTATACAAGAGCCGGGGTACAAGCCAGATGCACAGGAGGGTGAGAGGCTTCACCAGAGACAGAGCAGGGAGCAGAACAGGAAGACTGGCAAAACACACCGCTGAGGGGAGCAGCGGGTGAGACAGGAGAGGTCTGCTCGCCATGTGCATTGCTCCGAGGCCGGCGGGGATCCAACCGGCACTGCAGAGGCTCCGGACAGCTTCATAGTGCTGCGCTCAACCTCCTGCACCACCAGGGAGGCCCAAAAGCTTCACTTTTTACCGTAGAGTTGACACACAGGGGTGGAGTCTAGAATGTTCCACCCTCCACCATTGAATTGGCTGTGAGCACCACCCGCCAACTTGGCAGTTGCTCTTCACAGTTACATGATGACTCGATATGGGCGGGCATCTAAATGATGACCACAGAGAGGTCCTCAGCACTTCTGTTTAAGAAGATTATTAACACCATGTTGGGGCGACCCATTATGAGCCCTAGTCAAGCTACACGTTTATGGTTGTTTTACTTGTTTGCAGGTTTTATGCTTCAACCAAACTTTTTTCAAAAGATTTATTTATTTATCCATACAAGAACTGGGGTGTAAGCCAGAGGTGGGAGGGGTGAGAGGATTCACCAGAGAGAGTGGGGAGCAGAACAGGCAGATCCACTGAAATCCACTGCTGAGGGGAGCAGCGGGGAGACAGGAGAGGTCTGCTGCGCCCTGTCGGTCAGCTCCCTGGCCGGCCAGGGATCGAACTCATGCTGTGGTGGCTGGCAGTAGCTTGATAGCACTGTCTTTAACCCTTGCGCCACCCGGGAGGCCCGCAACCAAGCATTTTTAACAAAGATAAAAACAATGGCCTACAAATCCATCTTGACACTCTACATCTCTTTCAGACAAGAAAACCAAGCCTACTCCAAAGGCATCGTTTCCAAAGTCAGGCACTTCTAAGTCCTCATCTCTGGGGAAGGCGAGAAAAGCCACCCAACAAGGTGCCAAGACAAAAAAGACTTTGGCAATTAAGGACAGGTCACCACAGGACAGGCACAAATCGGATCCAAGGCCGGCTACAGGCTCGGGCAAAAAAAATCCACCTGGCACAAAGGGGCCTGAATCTGTGACCTCGAGGGACACCTTGAGTCAACCATCAACAAGTGTGACGCCACAGGGCACCCCTGGGGGGCAGAAGACCCCGACAAGAGATACTCATGCGAAAACAGCAGGCACAAGCTGCACAAAGCACCATCGTCGGATAGTCAGAGTCGGGAAACCTCACTTCAAATGTAAAGAATGTGGGAAAACCTTCAACCAGACCCTGCACCTCATTGAGCATGAGCGTATCCATACTGGAGAGAAGCCGCACAAATGCGACAAGTGTGGGAAATCCTTCCGGCACAGCTCCTACTTCTTCACGCACTACAGAATCCACACGGGAGAGAGGCCCTACAAGTGCAAGGTCTGTGGGAAAGCCTTCAACAGCAGCTCCACCCTCAACAGCCACTACAGGACCCACACAGGGGAGAAGCCCTTCCGATGCGATGAGTGTGGGAAAACCTTCAAGCAGAGCACAAAACTCACTCGTCACCGGCGCGTGCACACCGGGGAGAAGCCCTACCGCTGTGAAGAGTGTGACAAATGCTTCAGCCGCAGCTCCTCCTTGACAGAACACAAGAGAATCCACACAGGGGAGAAGCCGTACCACTGTAAAGTGTGTGGGAAAGCCTTCCGCTGTAATTCCCATCTGTTTGAGCACCATCGGATTCATCAAGAGGAGAAGGCCAACCAGTGTAAAGAGTGTGGGAAAACCTTCCGCAGCGGCACCCACCTGGTCGAACACAAGAAGATTCACCACCCGTTGACCCGGAAGGAGTGCCAGCACTGTGGGAAAGCCTTCACCAGGAGGGCGGCCCTAATCACACACCAGAAAACCCATGGTAAGTGCCACAACTCCCGGTGTGAGGGATGCAGGAAGTCTCGGGGCCAGCCAAGCATCCAGCGACACCAGCGACTGAATGCCAAAGACAAGCCGTGCGTGTGCCCCGACTGCGGGAGATCTTTCATTGACAACTTAACACTCATCAACCACCGCCAAGCCCACACCGTGGAGAGAAATTATCCGTGCACCAAATGTGAGAGGAGCTTTGGGCAGCTCTCCTCCCTGGCGCTGCACCAGAAGATGCATTCCAGGAAGGGGGACTAAACTCGGGGCAGGAGAGCCTCGGCTGGCGCGAGGGACGTCATGGTCCCCAGAGAAGTCAAATTGAGGGTACTGACACGAGGAATAGTCCCTTATGTGTCATGACAGGATTTCTAGAGTAGACCCAGAGTTCTCGTTTGGGGGCGATGGGACGCTGTTCCTTGCTTGGATATTTGGGGGTGTTCTTGATTGTCCATCTTGGTTCTGCTACTGCCTTTACTGGGTAGCTACCCAAGGCACCTCTCAGTATCTCAGACCACACGGTGCCCCCTCCCCTGAACGTTCCAGCTCCAGATGCCAACAGTGGCGTTACAAGTAACTGAACTTGAAAAGGAACTCAGCGTCTTGTTGCTGTCCATACAGTCCTGGGAACTGCATGTGGCTCTTCACGTGTAAATTCATCAACATAAATACAAGTTTCTCTGCCACACCAGCCATGTTCGTGGCCAGGGGTGCTGGGGGACAGCACCAGGACCTGGCATTTCCTCTCCCTGGAAGATTCCATCCGTCTCAGCATCCCTTGGCCTCTCTCACACTATCAGACTTCTCAAGCAGTTCCGAGAAGGGTGACTGTGGGAGCTGCGGAGCAGGGGAGGCCCAACGCAGCATGGCAGAGGGGATCTTTTCATAAATGGTGATTAGAGACTCTTGGCATCTGTGGATGGTTCTGGGAAGGGGATTTGATCTTTTGGGATTGGCCAATACCCTGCCCGAAGGACACCCCCTTCTTCTTGGAGCTGGAGAACCGACCCGTTGCTGATAATGTGGTTGGCCGATGCCAACATCACCCCTGGCACTTTCACCTGGAGAGGAGTCCCGTGAAAAGCAACTAACCTGAGCCCCACCGACAGGTGGGAGGCCCGGGTGCGCTGACCCTCCTGCTGCTTGCCAGTGGTTACTATTTCAACGTTTGCATGAAAATCAAGCCTCTTTTGCTATTTTTATATCACACTCTTTCAAATTCTTATGATCCAGATTTCCACAAAACGTCTTTTCGAACAAGCGGGGAGCTGTTTGTATTTCTCTTGCATGTCTCTGCCCTTTGGGCAGACAGAGCTTTCCTGAGGCAGGAGCTGGCCCAGAGGACGCTGTCCATTGTGACTGGACAAACTCTGGCCCAGCTTACTGCCTTTTTTTTTTGCAAATAAGGTTTGACCGGCACACCCACACCCACTTTTCATGGATTGCCGATGCTGCTTTTGTGTTTGCGGCGGCAAACCCGAGTAGCTGGGTCCGAGCCCCGATGGCCCGTAAAACCGTATTTGCTGATATGCTCGACACAAAACGTTGACTGAGCCCGGCTCTGGGCTTACAAGCAACCGAGTAGGTTGGGAGGGTGGGGGTGGTTCGAAGAAGAAGAGAGGCGTCCTGGAGCTTCTGCTCTGCACCGAGACCCCCGCTGTCCGGCCAGCACCCCAGCACGCATTGTCGTGTGTGTGGGGTCCGAGTGCTCAAAGGACACCTTGGACAAAACACTTCTTACCCTGATTTCGTGCCCACACCATTCCCTTTCACCTAAAAAGCACCGCTGCGGCCTTCTGAGGTGACCTCACGGAAGCGTCGTGGGGCACAAAAGGCAGCCTGGACAGCCCCGCCCGGCCGTGGGCGACTGGACCCCCGGCCTCCTTCGTCTTCTTCTGCGCTGACATCTTCCTTTCCAGTGATTTTCACGATCCTGGCCAATTTCTGGTGGTTTTTTTTCTGTGGATTTCTGCTGGGGCGCCTGGTCGTGTCCCCATGGGGCCCCCTGTCAGCAGCGGCAGGAGCTGGCTGTGGCCGTGTTGGGGCCACGGGCACGACCACGTGGGACACGGTGGGACTGGGTGGAGTGACTGAGCCCTGGTCATTTCTGTCAAAGGGGAGGCAGGGCCAGAGGGACGTGTGTACACGCATGCACGTGCGCCATGCGCTCATCCAGCGCGCGAGCCTGTTGTGAAGCAACCAGAGGGCGGTGGTGACCTGGCAGAGTCGACACTGGGGGCACGGTGGAGGCAGGAGGCTTGGCCTGGATGGAGATGCGCTTTTCATCGTGCGACGTCCACGCCGTTAGAAGTGGCGGGCACTGCAGAGGCCGTGGCCCTGACACCCACATCCCCACCAGGGTCTGGACTTCACAGAGACGCAGCTGGCCCTGGAACAGCAGACCACGTGTCCACCCGGGAGCCGGAGTCCGGGTGATCAGGTCTGGGCACGAGGAGCCCCGACGGGCAGCGGCGCCCGCCCTCCTCCAGCCTCCCTCTGCGCTGGCCGGCTCGCCGGAGCCCGCCCTGTCCTGGGCCCTGCCGTGTGACCGGCGGGGCCCTGGGCTGGGGAATCCTGGGTCCCGGATGAGCTGGTGGCACCGAGCCCCGAGCTCGCCCGGGTCCGCGGCGGCTCCAAGGGCTGGGAGCTGCGGGCTGACGGCAGCATTTTCTGTAGAGTATAAGAATCACAGTATTCGGACAACAGCGTAGCGTCCATTTTACATAGCCTTGTGCTTCGCCCTTGTATCTTAAGTCCCAGCATGTACTCGCTCTAGACCCGCTCTGCGTTCCGCCCGGCCGAAGCCTCGGGCCGCGTCTGAGTGGACGGCCAGCCCTTGGCGGCCGTGCCCGGAATAAAGCAGACCCGAGGGTCGCCTTCAGCGGGAGCCGCCTGCTCTGTGGTTACTGCAGCGCCGCCCCCAGGGCCCCGCGGGAGCCCGGAGCCCCTGGCAGAGCCCCTCCTCCAGCAGGTCCCGTGTGGGGAGTCACACCCTGTCAGGCGTGGAGACAGCGGCGCTGGGGAAGGGCCCTGAGACCGGGTGCAGCCCCAGCAGAGGCTTGGGGGCCTCGGGGTCTGGGGAGCCTGGGGGTGTGGACCTGGGTCCTGAGCCCCTGTAAAAACTGCTCCTTCTGAGCTGGGTGGGGGCCCCTGAGCAAGTACGGGGCCCCATCCTGTCCCTGAGGGGCCCTGGGTGCCCCCAGCATCCGCGGGGACCCTGTGCCCCAGCGGGGAGGTGCACCCCTGCCGGCTCCGGAGGGGCTCACGCCGGAGCTGTGGCCAGTGCAGTGCACTCCGTGTGGGGGGGGCCGGGGGAGCCCCCAGCCGGTGGAGGGTGTGCGCGGAGCCCGACTCAGCAGAGGCTCCTGTGTGGGGGCAGCCCCGATGTTCCCGCTCTGGCCGCCTCCCGCCACCTGGTGGGGAGAGCCGGGGGAGGCCCCGCCGCGGGCAGGGGGGTCTCCAGGCCGGCGGGGACTGGCCGGCGTGGGCCCGGGAGGGGCGGCCAGGTCAGGGTCGGGGCGTTACTAGCTGGGTTGCGTCTAGGAAAGTAAATTGTTCGAGACGCCCTAAGGGCACTGGCGGGGGGCTGAGGGGGGGGCAGAGGGTCCAGGGGTCCCTTAGGCGTCCTGGGGTTCCCAGGGGGCTGCGGGGCTGCATTCCCGGCGTGCGAGCCCTGGCGGGGCTGGGGGGCTGCCGCCCGGGGCCGCGCGCGTTCCCGGACCTGTCTCCGCCGGAAAAGCAGACGCGAGGGTCGGGTTTTGAGCGTGTTTCGCGCGCCGGGGAGCGCGGAAGGTCCGCGTGCGGTGCGGAGCCCACGGGCCGGCCGCCAGGCACCGGGGGACGGGCCGCGGCGCCGTGGACGAGGCTGGAGGCCGCGTCCCGTTCAGGCCGAGCGCGGCTCAGGCGGACGCGCGGGCTCCAGGCCCCGCCCGCTCGGGGTCGCCCCGGCCAGGCCGAGGCTGCCCCCCCCCCGCCCCCCTCCCCCCCATCCCCGCGCGGATGCGCCCCGACTCGGGGAGTTCAAGGGCGGCGGACACTGGCGTGGACACGCAGCCGCACACGCCCCCGCTGAGGCAGGCGCGCACACGCGCACAGGGGCACACGCGCGCACGGGCTCACGCGCACAGGAGCACACGCGCGCACAGGGGCACGCGCGCACAGGGGCACACGCGCACGGGCGCACACGCGCACAGGGGCACACGCGCACAGGGGCACGCGCGCACAGGGGCACACGCGCACGGGCGCACACGCGCACAGGGGCACGCGCGCACAGGGGCACACACGCACGGGCGCACACGCGCACAGGGGCACACACGCGCACAGGGGCACACGCGCACGGGCGCACACGCGCACAGGGGCACACGCGCGCACAGGGGCACACGCGCACAGGGGCACACGCGCGCACAGGGGCACGCACGCGCACAGGGGCACGCGCGCACAGGGGCACACACGCGCACAGGGGCACACGCGCGCACAGGGGCACACGCGCACAGGGGCACGCGCGCACAGGGGCACACGCGCGCACAGGGGCACACGCACACAGGGGCACACACACGCACAGGGGCACACGCGCGAACAGGGGCAGGCGCGCACAGGGGCACACGCGCGCACAGGGGCACGCGCGCACAGGGGCACACGCGCGCACAGGGGCACACGCGCGAACAGGGGCAGGCGCGCACAGGGGCACACGCGCGCACAGGGGCACGCGCGCACAGGGGCACACGCGCACAGGGGCACACACGCGCACAGGGGCACACGCGCGCACAGGGGCACACGCGCACAGGGGCACACGCGCACAGGGGCACACACACGCACAGGGGCACACGCGCGCACAGGGGCAGGCGCGCACAGGGGCACACACGCGCACAGGGGCACACGCGCGCACAGGGGCACACGCGCACAGGGGCACACGCGCACAGGGGCACACGCGCACAGGGGCACACACACGCACAGGGGCACGCGCGAACAGGGGCAGGCGCGCACAGGGGCACACGCGCATGGGCGCACACGCGCATCCGCCTCTGCAGCCGCAGTCTGAGGCTCCACTCACCCTCCCAACACACAAACCCTCCTGCTGAACCCGGCGGCCCCTCCAGGGGCACCCCGGCCCCCCAGACACGCGCTGCCTGGCGACTCCCTGGCGCCCCAAAGCCGCTCCCCAAGCGCCTGCTCAGGGAAAACCTCACGTCCTCCGCAGTGGACCCCCGAGGGCCTCCTGCGGGACACAGACCCCCAAAGTGCTTAGGGCTTCTCGAAATATTCTCCTGCACCCCAGCAGCCGAGTCCTCCCTGGTGCCTCGGGGACGAGCGGCCCGTCCCCCGCCCCCACGTCTGCTCGCCGTGTGACTCCGGCCCCCGCGCCCCGACAGGACCCCACAGCGCCTCTGCGCGGCCGCCGGACAGTGGGGGGGGTGGCAGCCTGCCCTCCAGGAGCACCCCGCGCCGGCACCCCTCGAGCCGGTCCCCGCCTGCCGCGGGCTGCACCCCCGGCCCCGGGGTCACTCCCGCCCCAGCGGCCTCTCCGCCGCCTCCTGGGTGAGCCTGTCCCCGCGGGCCCGGGGGTCCCCGCGGGCCTGGGGGTGCCTGCGGGCCTGGGGGTGCCGCGGGCCCGACGACCCTGCAGGCCCCCAGCCGCTGCGGCGCGGAGCCGCCCACTGGAGCAGGAGGCCCCGGGCCACGTCGCCCGTCCCGCATCCCTTTCCTTTCCCTGGGGTCCCAGGCGCTGGCCTCAGGGCCCCGCCTCAAGGGGTGACCCCACCTGGGAAGACCGAGGCGCCCCTCACGCGCCCCCTGCGGACCCACCACGCGCCAGCCCGACTGCGCATGCGCAGGGCTGAGGCGCGGCGTCAAGGCGGGACGGTCGATGGGTCAGTCAGTCAGTCAGTCAGTCAGTGAGCCGGTCAGCCGGCCGGCGGGTCAGACTGTCGGACGGTCAGCGGCGCCTGGCGCGAGGTGAGCGCGGGTGGGGCCGGAGGGGCCGGAGGGCCAGGAGGGGCGGCCTTTCCTGAGGAGACGCTCGGGGAGCTCGACCCGACGCTCCAGGGCGCGAGCCTCAGCTGTGCCCCACCGACCCGCGCCCCAGAACCCCCGCAGTGCCCCCTGCCCGGCCCCTCAGAGCTCCCAGTCCGCCCTCTCCTCAGGCTCCCTGCCCGTCCCCCTCAGAGCTCCCTGCCCGTCCCCCTCAGTGCTCCCTGCCCATCCCCCCTCAGTGCCCCCTGCCCGTCCCCCCTCAGTGCCCCCTGCCTGTCCCCCCTCAGTGCTCCCTGCCCGTCCCCCCTCAGTGCCCCCTGCCTGTCCCCCCTCAGTGCCCCCTGCCCGTCCCCCCTCAATGCTCCCTGCCCATCCCCCCTCAGTGCCCCCTGCCCGTCCCCCCTCAGTGCCCCCTGCCTGTCCCCCCTCAGTGCTCCCTGCCCGTCCCCCCTCAGAGCTCCCTGCCCGTCCCCCATCAGTGCTCCCTGCCCATCCCCCCTCAGTGCCCCCTGCCCGTCCCCCCTCAGTGCCCCCTGCCTGTCCCCCCTCAGTGCCCCCTGCCCGTCCCCCATCAGTGCTCCCTGCCCATCCCCCCTCAGTGCCCCCTGCCCGTCCCCCTCAGAGCTCCCTGCCCATCCCCCTCAGTGCCCCCTGCCTGTCCCCCCTCAGTGCCCCCTGCCCTGCCCCCTCAGAGCCCCCTGCCTGTCCCTCCTCAGTGCTCCCTGCCCGTCCCCCCTCAGAGCTCCCTGCCCGTCCCCCCTCAGTGCCCCCTGCCCGTCCCCCCTCAGTGCCCCCTGCCCGTCCCCCCTCAGAGCTCCCTGCCCGTCCCCCCTCAGTGCCCCCTGCCGTCCCCCCTCAGTGCCCCCTGCCCGTCCCCCTCAGAGCTCCCTGCCCCCCTCAGTGCTCCCTGCCCTGCCCCTCAGTCCCTGCCCGTCCCCCTGCCCCCTGCCCGTCCCCCCTCAGTGCCCCCTGCCCGCCCCCCCTCAGTGCTCCCTGCCCTGCCCCCTCAGTACCCCCTGCCGGTCCCCCCTCAGTACTCCCTGCCTGTCCCCCCTCAGTGCTCCCTGCCTGTCCCCCCTCAGTGCTCCCTGCCCTGCCCCCTCAAAGCTCCCTTCCGCCCTCTCCTCAGGCTCCCTGCCCGTCTCCCCTCAGAGCTCCCTGCCCGGCCCCCTCAGTGCCCTCTGCCGGCCCCCTCAGTGCCCTCTGCCGGTCCCTCCCTAGTGCTCCCTGTCCGTCCTCTCCTCAGTGCTCCCTGCCGGTCCCCTCCCCGCCCCGGCCTCACCCCTACCCCGACCTCCTGTGCGTCCTCCCACCTGCGCCCCCCACTCCTCTCACCCTCCCTGCGTCGCTGTCCCCGCCTGCCTGCAGCCCCGCCTGCCCCGTCCCGTCCCTGCCCTGCCCCCCGGCTCTCCCCATGCCCCTCTGCTCGCCCCCCCCCCGCCCCGCCCCCCCCTGCTGCTCCCTCCGCGCCTCCTCCCGCGCCCTCAGCCCTGGGCCCGCCCCCGCCCCCACCCTCACCCCACTCCGCTTGTCCCCCCACTCGGCTCTGACCTCCCGGCCTTGCCACGGCCACGGCTTCCCGCCCAGCGCATCTTCCCGCCCGCCCCTGGGCCCCCGCGGCGCCCGGTCCCGTCCGGTCCCGCTGCTGCCCGCCGCCCGCCGCCGCCCGGGGCCCTTGGGCTCGGCGCGTGCACGGGACTCCCGGTGGGGTTGCCGGGTTTCACCGGGGGGGCTGGGGGCGCGGGGGCGGCTCCCGGGGGCTCAACCTCCCTGTAACTGATCTCCCCGCCGAGGGGCCGCGCGGTGGCCCCGGCGCCGCCTCCCGCTCCCGCCGCCGGGGCTGGCCTGCTGGGGGCTGGTGTGCGAACGCCGTGTCTGTCCCCCGCGCCCTGTGGCCGTCTTGGCAGACGCGCTCCTTGTCTTTCAAGGGGGATTGATTTAGGCATCCAAGAGCTGGGGCGCAGGGGCGGGGGTGAGAGGACCCACCAGAGACAGAGCGGGGAGCAGCACAGGCAGATCCAGGGAATCCACTGCTGAGGGGAGCCCCGGGGAGGCAGGAGGGGTCTGCTGCGCCCTGTGGGTCAGTTCCCTGGCGGCCATGGAGCTCCTGCTGCAGAGGCTGCGGACAGCCTCACAGTGCAGGGCTGAACCCCCGCGCCCCCAGGGAGGCCCCGGATTCCCTCCATCTCGGGGACAGTGGCTGCGAGTCGGTGTGATACCCCACGTGGTGCGGCGTTTGCATCTGTGGCAGCAGTGCCTGTCCACAGAGAAGGGAGCTCAGGGCCCCTGCCCTGCCTGGGGCAAAACCTGGGCAGGGAGGGCGGCTGGAGAAGGCAGGGAAGCGAGGAGCCATCAAGGAGGCGGCCTGGAGGAGGCGCGCAGAGCAGAGAGTGTGGAGAAGCCGCGCTGGCGACTAAGCCCTGGATGTGCGCCCGGGACTTGGGGGACGCGGGAGGAGCCCCCTGAAGAGACAGGCGCGGGACAGACCCGTGGGGAGGCTGCCGTGGCGGCCTCCACCCTGACTCGTACTTGAGGGTGTTCCTTCCTTCCGTCCCAGGCCTGCCTGGCCCCCGCCCCTTTCCTCCGTGTCCCGGCTGGAGGTGCCTGAAAGGGGGGACGCCTGTGGGCCTCGGTGGCCTGCTCTGGCCAGCCCTGCTCGGCTGGGCTCTTACCCGCGCGGGGACGGGTGTCTTTGGGGTTTCAGTGGAAGCTGTTTTAATCAGATCCTTTTCCTCGCCGCACACTGGTGCTGTTGACGCTCTTCGCTGCGGAAGGTCTTAGGCGCTGGGGTGTGTTTTGTCTTGATAGGGCGGATGGCAGAACCGACTTAGAGCCGGCAGGTTTGGGGGTCCCGGGTTACCCTCTTCTGCCCGCTGACAGATTTGTTTGTCTGTTGAAGGCGATTTAAAGTGCTTTTATGCCCTGGCTATTGCCAGTCATGCTGCTGCGGACGGTGGGCCATGCGGGGTGTTGTGTTGATGACGTCACATTTGTGGCTAGACGCCCAAGAGTGTAATCTCTTGCCACTTGGTGACACCTGCACCCTCCTCTCACTCACCCCCGGGGGCAGGCCTGCGCCCCGAAGACGACCCAGGCGGTTGGGCGGGGTCACTAGGTCCTACGCTAGTTCCACTTTCAGGGTTTTTTTAAAGATTTATTTTATTTGGGGCCTCCCTCGTGGCGCAGGCGGTTGCAAGCGCAGGGCTGTGAAGCTGTCCGCAGCCTCTGCAGTGCCAGTTTGATCCCCGCTGGCCGTGGAGCAACCCACAGGGCACAGCAGACCCCTCCTGCCTCCCCGCTGCTCCCCTCAGCAGTGGATTTCAGTAGATCCGCCTGTTCTGTTCCCCACTCTGTCTCTGGTGAATCCTCTCACCCCCTGCACCTCTGGCCTGTACCTCAGTTCTTGCATAAATAAGTAAATCTTCAAAAATAAAAGATCTATTTATTTGTGCATACAAGAGCTGCGGGGTAGGGCATAGGTGCCAGGGAGCGAGGTGAGAGGATTCACCGGAGACAGACTGGTGAGCGGAACAGGCGGATCCACTGAAACCCACTGCTGAGGGGAGCAGCGGGGAGACAGGAAGGGTCTGCTGTGCCATGTGGGTCACTTTCCTGCCCCGGGATCGAAGCTGCAGAGGCTGCCGACAGCTTCACAGTGCTGCGACTTAACCCCTGCGCCAGCAGGGAGGCCCCAATTTTTATTTTTTTAAGGTAAATCCAGATTGCTTTCCATAATGGTCTCACCAGTTCGCATTCCCATCAGCAGTGTAACATTCTGGGCTCCTTGTTCTCTGTATTCCCTCAGCACTCGTTGGGGGTCACCTTGGTATGTGCCTTTCTCACGGGTGTGAGGGGGTGCCCCGCTGCAGTTTTCATTGCATCTCTCTTATTAGGGGTGATGATGAATGGTTTTCACAAGCCTTTCAGCCTTCTGGAGATCGTCTTCAGAGAGTTATCTGTCTGCACTGCCCATTGTTAATTGGATTTTTTGTTTTTCTGTTGTTGCGTTGGATGAATTCATATATATATATATGTCTTGAATAGTAATCTCTTCTCAGTTATGTATATATATTTAACATTTATTTATTTTTGCATACAAGAACTGGGGTACAGGCTCGGGGTGGGGGAGGCTGAAAGGGTTCACCAGAGACAGAGTGGGGAATAGAACAGGTAGACAGACCGAAAGCACTGCAGAGGGGAGCAGCGGGGAGACAGGAGAGGTCTGCCGCGCCATGTGGGAATCTCCCTGGCTAGCCGGGATCGAACCCATGCTGCAAAGGCTGCGGACAGCTTCACAGCGCTGCACTCAACTGCCTGCGCCACGAGGGAGGCCCAATATTTTTTTTCCCATTCCATAGGGTGCTCATTTAATTGCCTTGTGTTCCCTTTGCTGTGTAGAAGCTTTTTACCTTGAGGAATTCCCAACTGTTTAATTATCTTAAATTCCCTTGCCAGAGGGACCGAATCACCAGAGTCACCAAAAATATCTTTGTTGTTGATGTCCTGGAAAGTGTCTCTGGTGTTTTCTTCTTTGTATTTTGTCGTCACGGCTCTTCTGTCTAAATCTTTTTTTTTTTTTAAGATTTATTTATTTATTTATACAAGCACTGGGTACAGTCAGAAGCGCGGGAGGGTGAGAGAATTCACCAGAGCCAGAGCGGGGAGCAGAGCAGGCAGAAGGACCGAAGCACACTGCTGAGGGGAGCAGCGGGCGGCAGGAGAGGTCTGCGCGCCATGCGGGACCCTCCTTCGGGGGCCGGGGAGCAGCCGGGGATTGAACCGGCGCTGCGCCACCGGCGGGGGGGGGGCCCTCTTCTGTCTAAATCTTTAATCCATTGGGGAGCTCTTCTGCCTGAGCTTCCGGAGTCACCTCTGCTGTCAGGAAGGTGCTTTGGCCTGAACACGCTACAGCCGTTCTGTGCTATAAACTTCAGGTGCCAGCCAGCGGCCCGGCTCTGCTCCGCAGCCCTGCAGCTGTCCTGCAATGCACCCTCCGACCTGGGTGCACCCCTCGCCCTGCACAGGCCTGGCCTTGAGAGGCCTGATGCTGGGGTGCCCCAACCCAGCAGCTGCAGTGGCTGGTCCTGCAGCCAGGCCTCCCTCGGGGGTTGTCCTGCCCCACTATTACTTTATTTATTTTTTATTTATTATTATTTTGTTTAAAGCTTACTTTAAACGAAGTTCTCTCAGTGTTTTCCCACCCCTTCCAGTCAGGTCGACAGGCTGAGAACCAGGTTTTCCTTCAGGCCTGTGTGTTTTGCCTCAGTTGCTGGTGCGTGTCCGAGGAGGCGAGCCTGGCCGCGTCGTCCTGCCGCCATTTTGCTGACTCCCCGGATCTTCCAGGTATTTCCGTGGCAGCCTTCTGGATATCCTCTTTGTTTCAAATCACACAGTCATGGCAAACGCGCTGACAGAATCGCAGCAAACACTCTTAAATCCCTTTAAAAAAACAAACAGACAGACATGGCGGTGGCGTTGGCTTCCAAAGTTGCTTCCCGGCGTGACATCCTGTAACTCTGTCCGCACAGTCCGTGCTGGCTGGCGCCGCAGTCTCGTTCCCGTCCTTCGTCGCACAGTTATTAACACACTGAGGGAAAACTACATATAAAAGAAACAACCCAGGAGTTTGTCTGAGGTGTTAGAACTGCCATCCAGGAGACTGTGCCATTGGCCTGCCACTGGACGGGGCGGCCGGGGCCTCCGGGGCTGGCCGTGGGGTGAGCAGCCGCCTCGCGAATCTGTCCTCTCATTTGACGGCGACTCAAGTAGGAAAGAACTGTCGCTGCGGGCTCGGCCCGTTGCTCAGTGTCTCTCAACTCTCCCTGACGTTTGCAGGCGCCAGGTTTCGGGGGGTGTGTAGTGACGTTCGCGTGGGTGCAGCTGGGCCGCGGGGGTCTGTGAGCCACACTTCTGTGGTGGCCACTCTGCTTCCACTTCCGATGAGCTTGTACCTCCGCTTTGTCTCCCCTCACGCCCAGCGGGCTGCTTTTACCTCACGTAGCTCCCGCCTGTCCCCTGTCCTCTCTGGTGACTGCCGCTTGGTTCTTGGAGCGCAAGCGTTGGTTTTTGCTTTACTGATCTTCCACAGGAGTGACATCGCGCCTCATTTGTCTTTCTCCACCTGGCTCATTTATTTAGCTTCCTATCCTCGAGGCCCGTCCACGTTGTCACAAATGGCAGGATTTCCTCTTTTTTTTACAGCGCAGTGGTCTCCCATTGTGTCTGCGGTCACGGTTCACGGCAGGGACACATTCCGAGAAGCTCATAGGCAGTTTCGTCACTGTGCAGACATCCCAGGGTATAATGACACAAACCTCGATGCTGTCACCCGCTGCACCTCTGGGCTACGTGGTGGATCCCGTTGGCCCCGCCCTCTGTGTATTGCTCTGTCATTGACCAAAACGCCCTTAGTGAACGCCTGGTTGTGCGCACCACATCTTTACACACTCATCCGTCAACGAGCATTTAGGTTGTGTGCAGTGCCTGGCTCATGTGCTTTTGGTGGGGATGAGAACTGATTTAGGTGCTGTGAAAACAGCATGGAGACTTCCGTGGAAATACCATATGATCTGGCTGTTTCACTTGCGGGTGTTCATGTGAAGGCTATGAAAACAGTTCAGCTTGAAATGATATAGGCACCTTTATGTTCCTTGCAGCACAATTTTTTAAAAGCTAAGAATTGTACTTTTTTTTTTTAGATTTATTTTATGTGTTTATGCACACAAGAGCTGGGGTGCGGGCCAGAGGTGTGGGGGGTGAGAGGATTCACCAGGGACAGAGTGGGGAGCAGAACAGGCAGACTGACTGAAATCCACTGCTGAGGGGAGCAGCGGGGAGACAGGAGAGGTCTGCTGCGCCATGTGGGTAGCTCCCTGGTCGGGGATGGAACTCGTGCTGCAGTGACTGTGGACAGCTTCATAGTGCTGAGACTTAACCCCTTGTGCCACCGGGGAGGCTCTTATCACTTCTTTTTGTCATGATTTCTTCATACTCTGCTTTCCTTTCAGATCGCACAAATCTTACCCCTTTTAACATACTTCCTCCAGGCTTTCCAGGAAGACCCCTGCAGGAAGGTAGAAAGGCTGGGCCACAGGTGTAAATACCTTTCTCCTTCTAAGAAACCTACTTGCTGCCCCATTTTGTTTTGGGGTTCTAAAGATTTTCATGTTAAACTGCATAACAGAGCTACTCTTGTCTTACTTTTATAATCGTTTATAGGAAGTTGCTTCTTCTGGATGATATGCCTGGTGGTTTGCAGCTTCTATTTAAACCTCACAACATCATGGGAAAGGCTTTCCACTTGCCCCCTTCTTACAGATGAGAAAGGCTAAGTCCAGAGATGCTAATTGTCCAGGTTTCCAACACTTTAGTGGCAATGGCCAGTATTCCAGAATAAAGGAAATGCTTGCTTCCTGGATGTCAAGGAAATGCTTAATAATGAATTCTAGCAAAGTGGAGGTGAAATTATGTTCTTCTAAGGAACTTTCTGGTCACGGAGAAATCAGAAAACCATTTATGAATGTTAAATATAAAGTAATGGAAATAGGAGTGATGACCTCCCTCAATTTCGATACGTGGCCAAGATGAACAACTTTCAATGGTCAAAAAAGAGTGAAAATTAATTGGGCATTCATTTCAGGAGATTCCCAAAGAACTCCCCACAAACAAAGGAACAAACAAAAAAATTGATGACTCTGAAGAAACCAGAAGTAAGAAGATAATAAAGATAAATGAAATGAATATACAAAGAAACAAAAGTAATAGCAGCTGGTACTTTGGGGGAGCGGGGAGAAAGTGGCAAGAAAGGAAGAAACATCAGAAATTAACAAAAAAGACAGACTAGAAATAAAGCAACGTCATTGATTAGAAAGGATAAAGTCACATCCTTAGGAGAGTTAGTGCTCCAAGAAATCTGTGCGCAATTTTATGTTACTAAATTGCCATTTCAAGCAAATGGGTAATTTTCCTGGGAAAAAAATTTTACTGAGAAAATTTTTTTTTAATTTTTTTAAAAATTGGACTCAAGATGTAGAAAAAGAAATGTACCGATGGCCACTGAAAACTGAACGGAACCATTAAACATTGGTGGGCGTTACAGAGCCCCTGGCCAGATGATTGTCGTGGTTGAGATTTAAAAAATAAAGATTGGGTTTAAAAAAGTGCTGGGGGGAAGAAAAGGATGCTCACGACTACAGAGGTAAGTGGGTGAGACTTGGATGATAAGGGATTTAGGATTCAGAAAGGCTGAGACCCAAAAAATCTCTGAGAATGTGTTTTATTTAGTTTGTCTTTTCAAAGATTTATTTATTTACACATACAAGAACTGGGGTACAGGCCAGAGGTAAAGGGTGGGGGGTGGTGAGAGGGTTCACCAGAGACAGAGTGGGGAGCAGAACAGGCAGATCCCCTGGAATCCACTGCTGAGGGAGCAGCGGGGAGACAGGAGAGGTCTGCTGCGCCATGTGGGTAGCTCCCTGGTCGGCCCCAGATCGAACTCGTGCTGCAGAGGTTGTAGACGGCTTCACAGTGCTGAGCTTAACCCCTTGCGCCACCAGGGAGACCCTGAGAATGTGTTTTAGACAGGTGCGTCAGGAGCTAACTCCCTCTCCTTCAACATGCCTCAACCCACAGCCCAGTTCCACCTGTGCAAGTGACTGTAAGTCTCTCTGTGTAATTTCCGCAGGTCCTGATCTTCTGTGGCCTTCGTCTGTTACAGCGTGTTCCCCACCTTCGTCAGCGCCGTGTCCTGGAGCAGCCCGCCTTGTTGCGTGTCTCTGTTCCATGACGGTCCAACCTCCAAGGATGCTGCGCGTGACGCAGGTTTTGGATAGCTTGAATCCCCAGCTCTTATGTCTGCACGATCGAGAAGAGGACCCAGAGGCCAGTGCCAGAAGTAACCCGGAGGCGCTGAAGGCCTCTCGGCAGAAGCTTGCTATGCATTTTAAGTACCTGTCCGTGACGGGGCCTCACCAAGCTGTGCGCGAAATCCAGGCGCTCTGCTGGGACTGGCTGCGGCCGGAGACCCACACCAAGGAGCAGATGATGGAGCAGCTGGTGCTGGAGCAGTTCCTGAGCACCCTGCCGGAGGAGGTTCAGATATGGGTGCGGTCCAAACACCCCAAGAATGGTGAGGCGGCAGGAGCCCTGGTGACAGACTTGATCCAGAAATGTGGGATAAAAGGTGAGGAGGGAAGGAAGCGAACACCTGCTATGCGCCTGGCGTGTAGTAGGGGCTGAATAAACAGCTACTGAATGAAGGAGTGAATGAGTGAATGAATTTTATAATTCAGTGTAGTCTGCCTGTGTCACATGAGGTGGGAGACACATATATCGGGGATTTGGCTTTTGCTTTTAATATTATTTCTCTGAAGGCAGCTTCCCCTCTCCAGTTCTGTTCCACAACCCCACATTCCTTATCCAGTCTGAACTGTAGTATCAGCACAAAAGACACAGCCCCCAAAAGAGGGCATCCAAGGTGGGGGCTCCAAGGCCGCGAGCTTAATCTCTGCCAAAATTTAACTGGTCTTGGAAAGTCAAGTTGCTAGATTGGAACTAAGGTTGTTTCCATAGTGAGGGAAGAAAGGCCTTCACTCCCCAGAGTCCTTTGAGTAAAGATGATGTTAAGCGCAAGGCCAAGTGCAGCTCGGGGGGTACAGGGAGGCCGAGAGAAAGGGAGGAACTGGTGAGTGTGAACCAGCCCCCGCCCAGTGGGGAGCGCTGGGGTGGAGACGGGGGGGGGGGGGGGGGGGGGGGGGGGGGGGAGCTCGTGGCGTAGCCCAAGTCACTACAGATGTGCCCGTTTGGGGGTTGGGTAGCGAGTTCGCGGGCCTTAGCGATCCTTGAAATTATGGACGAGTAAATTTAAAATAAGCGGAGGGTGGGCGCGGGCACAAAATCAGCGTGAGGGTCACGTGCGGCTGAGCGCCACTCCCAGGAGTTACGGATTATGAGGAAGCCAGTTCTGCGCCCTGGTTTTCCTCAAGGGAATGTCGAGGCTCTGGCGGAGGACCCGGGGAGCACCCCGTGCACTGTGTCCTGCGGGGTTCGGACACGCTTGTTGCTGTGCCTCCCGCAGGAGCCCTTGAAAGAGCTGCTGCCCGGAGGCTGAGCTCTGCCGCGTCCTCCGTCAGGCATGGGGTCGGGATTCGGGCCTGGGGTGGGCGGCAGGGAGGGTCCAGGAGGCCAAGGTCTCCGCCGGGAGGGCGGCCAGTGGCTAGGAAAGGCCGTGAGGGAGGCTTAGCAAGAGCCGCCGGGTGCCTGGCGGCCGGACACGGGGTGCTGAATCCTTGCCAGCGCCCGAGGAGGTGCACTTAATATTTCCACGTTGCATTCGGGAAGCCGAGTCCCTGGGGAGCGGGGCTGGGGGCGTCTGACTGGAGGGAGCTCGAGGGTACTGAGCGAGCAGGCGGGGCACTGAGGGGGCCAGAGCGCGCCTGGACACAGGCCGCGGTCTTGTGGGGGCCCAGATCCGCTGCCCCTGAGGGCGGAACGGTGGCCGGGCTCGCTGCCCTGGGGCTGCTCGGAGGGACTCGGGTCACAGGCGTTCTTTCTCCCTTCCAGTTGTGCCCGCGCGGGACGCTGTCCTTGCAGGAGGAAAGGACGCCAAGAGGCGCCCAAGGAGGGGCAGGGAGACTGCCAGCCAGCCACCCGCTGCGCCCCAGGGGGCCCGACGCCCCAGGTTCCCGCCCCATTCCCGGACCCGCCCACCTAGCTAGACCCCTTCCTCCTGAGTCCTTTAGGCCTTCCCTGGATTTCCCCACCCGCCTTCCCCACCCCCCCTCTGAGAGTCCCTTCTCACGCTTGCTTTGGTTTTTATTTTTATTTTTATTTATTTGTTTTTTAAAAGATTTATTTGTTGATTTATACAAGCGCTGGGTACAGTCAGAAGCGCGGGAGGGCGAGAGAATTCACCAGAGCCAGAGCGGGGAGCAGAGCAGGCAGAAGGACCGAAGGACACTGCTGAGGGGAGCAGCGGGCGGCAGGAGAGGTCTGCGCGCCATGTGGGACCCTCGCCGGCAGGCAGGGATCGAACCGGCGCTGCAGAGGCTGCGGGCAGCTTCCCAGCCCAGCGCTCAACTGCTGCGCCACCAGGGGAGGCCATGTTTTTTATTTTTAAAGATAGATTTATTTGTGTATCCAAGAGCTGGGTGCAGGCCAGAGGTGCCGGGAGGAGAGGACTCCCCAGAGACAGAGCGGGGAGCAGAACAGGCGGATCTACTGAAACACACTGCTGAGGGGAGCAGCGGGGAGACAGGAGAGGTCTGCTGTGCTTTGTGGGTCACTCCCTGGCCGGAGATCGAACTCTTCCCGCAGTGGCTGGCGATAGTGATGAGACTTCAACCTCTGCACCCCAAGGAGGCCCCCACTTCTAACGCTTTGTATCCCCTTCCCTGCTGTCTTCCCTGCCGCCCTTCCCTCCGCCCATACACCCCAGCTTTCTCATCGCCGGCGTCTTGAGGTCTTGGAACTGTTGTGTTGGCTGTTGCGTTTTTGCTTCTGCTTCCGGCCTTATGGAAACCACCTCGTGCTTCCCTTGCCTACGGGGAGCGAGCGGCAGCTCTTAGGGGACGCGATGCTCTGCTGAGCCTTCTTTCCTGAAAGACGTGCCCCCGTCGCGAGGCGCCCGTGCTGCGCGTCTCCCCACCGGCGCGCACTCCCGGAGGGCAGGGTGGCGGGGAGGGCGGCCCGAGGTGTGTCCCCGAGGAAGAGACGAGGGAAGCGAGGCGGGAAGCTGTTCCAGACGGTGTCCTGAGAGCAGCCTTCCTGTGTCCCTGCAGCGCCGGCCTGGAGGGTCCCCCGCAGGGACGCCCGCAGGGGCCGCCCAGGTAACGGAGTGAGGAGGGGCCGAAGGGAGGCGTGGCCGGCGGGAGCCCCTGTCCTCCCCGCGGGGCGGCTGTGAGGGCCTCAGCGGGCGGCCGGGTCGAGGCCCGCCGCACCTGCCCGGGAAGCCCGCACTTCGGGCGACGGGGATCTGACACGTCTGCTAGAGCGCGCGGCCGGCGCGGCCGGAGGGGTTGCAAAGACAAAACCTAAGCGGGAGCCCGGGCCACGGCTGCGCGGGGCTCGCGGCCCGGTCCCCCGCTCCAGCCACGTTCGGGGGTGCCCGCGCAGAGGGGCGTGTGACCGGGCTGGCGCCCCCCGCGCTCTTCCCACCCGGCCCTCGGGGGCACGCGCGGGGGCGCCGGGCCGTCCCGCTGGGGAGGCCGGTGCGGCTGTGCGCGAAGCTGTCTCCGGGGCGCACGGGCAGGGACGTGGGGGGGGGTTGGGCGGCACCGGCTGGGCCCCCACATTCCGGCAGCACCTCACGGGCGGCCCGGGGCGCCTTCTCCACGCCGCTCGGCTCCGTCAGGGTCTTCGTCTTTGCCGGGTGATGGGCACGAGAGGGCCTGGGTCGTTCTGCTCCGCGCCGGCCTCGACTGACGAGGCTGAGCGTTCAGGCGACGCGGAGCTCCCGAGCCAGGACTTCCCGGCACCCCCTTCCGGTTCCGAGGCCGCGGCTCCGCCCGCTGCACCGCCCGCTGCGCCCGCTTCTCGGCGGGGCCAGGAGGTCGCCTCGCCAGGCTGCCACCTCCCGAGAGGGCGCTCGGGGCCTGCTGCTGAGGCGGTGACGGCTCGTCCCCCTCCCTGGGGCGTCTCCGGGCCCCCCCACTCAGGCGTGTCTCGTGTTGTAGGAGCTGGTGACTTTTGAGGACGTGGCTGTGGACTTGAGCCCGGAGGAACTGAGCTGCCTCAGCGCCCCTCAGAGGACCCTGTACCGGGAGGTGATGCTGGAGAACTACAGGAACCTGGTCTCGCTGGGTGAGCGCCCCGGGGAGCCAGGCTGCCCCCTGTTCTCCACCCCCTCCCTCCTCAGAAGGCGGCTCGCAGGCCAGCGGGCTCAGGGCGGGGACGGGTGTTCGCACCAAACCGGGTGGGTGAGAGAGCAAATCCTCCCCCCACAGGCCCTTCCGCCCCCCCGGGGTCAGCTCCGTGCTCGCTCGCGCGTGCCCAGGGTCCCGTCCCCGCAGAGCCGCCGGGCCGAGGCGGGCAGCCGCGCCGCTTGGCGCTCAGTGTCTGCTTTGCCGTCTGTTGCCCGGTCTGGACAGACGTGCTCTTGGCACACGACCGCGGAGGCGGAGGGTTGACGCAAAGCTTCCGCTGCCATGAAGCGGGTTTGAGCTAACGGGAGGCCGGCGGGGAAATGCTGAATTCCACTGGGAGAGCCACGTCGGGCCCAGACGCAGGCCTCGTCCGCTCCCTCGTCAGGAGCGCGCGGCGCGGCCGGCAGGGGCAGGACACGACGGGCGTCTCTGCTCACGTGGCGCTGACTTCCCTGGGGCAGAATCACCGAGTAAACATGAAGCTGGCGCCTGGGTTGCTGCTGCACGTCGGGGCCCTGCGGCCTCTAGACAGCAGGGTTTCTCTCTGCCCGCGCTGCGGCTCCGAGCCCCAGACCAGGGTGCGGGGGCACACAGGAGCCGTCCCTCTCCCACCTCGCGGTGTCCACCCTGACGTGACAGGGCCTGGGGCCTCTGGGCCCTCTTTTATAAGGGCATGGGTCCCACTCACGGGGGTCCCCCTCATGATCTGAGCACCTCGTGATGAGCAGCGTCACCTCAGCGTGAGGATTTCAGCCGTCTTGGGAGAACAAAACTTGGACGGCGGGTGTGCAGCGATGGCAGCCCGGGGACGCTGGGGTGGAGACCAGCGGGGTGAAGGCTGTCCGGGGTGCAGGGGCCTGCACTTCCTGAGCGGCCACGGCCTGAGGTCCTGGGCTGAGCTCGGCTCCTTTCCGGCTGGAGCACGGTCTTGGGCCTGTGGTGCCGGCGCTTCCAGCGTCCGTGCCGGACCCTGCTTGCGGGTGGTGGTCATGGCACCCGGGAAACTGGGACTCCAGGGCTGGCAGGAAGCAGGTTTGCTGCCCCGCGCTGGTGCCGCACACTCGCACCCCAAGGCTGAGCCCGGCAGGAGGTCAGGGGCTTATAGGCACCCTCAGTTTCTACACGGTTCTGGAAGGTTTGCACTGGCAGCTGGACGCGGTCGGATGTGCAGTGGCTGCACACCGAGGGGTCAGCCAAGGGTCAGCAGTCACGGGCCCCCAGGTCCATCCTGCCTCATGGTTAACATCTGGCAAGATGCCGGCCAGGGACTGAGCAGAAGTCATCACTCAGGAGCCCAGGCTGCCTGTCTCGGTCGCCGCGCTTCAGTGGACGCGCCGGGCCGCGGCGGTCAGCAGGCCCCTCCCCCGCCAGCCGACAGCAGTGCTGCCTCCTGCCCCGCAGCCCGGCAGCCGCGTCCCCACTGATGTCCCCACCGATGTCCCCTGGGGGGTCCCGGACTCGGCCTCATTTTCCCCACCGATGTCCCCTGGGGGGTCCCGGACTCAGCCTCATTTTCCCGGCGTGTGGATTTCGCTGGCCCGGAGCCCTCAGCTCCCGGGCCGGGCGTTGCCGCGGGTGGGGGCAGAGCCCCGTTCTGAGTCTCCTTCCTCAACAGGACGCCCGTTCCCCAAACCCGACGTGATCTCGCGGCTGGAGGCGGCGGCGGAGGGGCGGCGGCTGGAGGAGGAGGACGGTGCCACGGCCCAGGGCCCTGGTGCGGGGGGAGCCAGGGGCCGTCAGCGGGAGGGGTCGGGAGCGTGGCCGGTGGTGGGGGCAGCAGGGACGAGGCGAGCCGCGGCTCCCAGACTCGCGGGCTCCACCCCTCCTGGGCTCCGAGCTCCCCCCGCAGCGGGAGCCCCTCAGCCCACCGGGGCCCGGCTCCTCCCCGGCCTCCCGTGTTCCGCGCCCGCCGGGGCTGCTCTTCCTGCGCGCCGGGCGAGGCGAGGCCGAGGCGCTTCTGCCCCCGCGCCCCCGTGTCCCCTCTGCCGGCTGCTCGGCCGCCGACCCCCAGGCTCCCTGCCCGCGCCCTTCACCCCCTGCGCTGGGCTCTCCCGTCTCTCGCTGTCTCTCTCCTGTGGCTCCCGCACGAGAACCTTCTGGAGTCTCCAAAGTCGCGGCTGTAACACGACGACGCGACCCTCTCGCCGGCCGGGCCAGAGGGCGTCAGGGTGGCCCGGCGGGAGGCCTCGCTGGGGGAGCCTGGACGGCCGAGAGGGGCGTGGGGCGGAAGTCCCAGGGGGAGGGGGACGGGGGGGTGTGGGGGGGGCAGTGGACGCGCCCCGGGGTCCGTGAGCTCCTTCAGGAGCCGGAAGAGGAGCGGCTCGGGCCGCCTGCGGGGCCCCGTGTGAGGCGACGGGCCCTGCCCGGGGTGGCCACGGACCTCCGCGGTGGGGCCGGCAGCGCCCCGCCCGGCCACGGCCGGCCGTCCTCGGCACCAGTGCGCCAGGTGGGCCCCGTGCCTTCGCCCAGCCCTCCCGCCCCCTTCCCGGGCCCCCCGTTGGGCTGCAGAGCCCGAGCCTCCCCGCGCCCCCCACTGTCGGCGCCCTCCCGTGTTTCTGCGGCGGGTCCTGGGGACGACAGGAGTTCTCCGCTTCTTCCAGGCGAGGTGGGCGCCGGGGAGCAGACGCCGTCCTGGGAGGAGTCGGGCGCGGGCGGCGCGGAGGGCAGCGAGGTGGGCCGGGCCGGCGGGGAGCCGGCCCCGGAGGGGGCCCCGGAGTTGCGCCCGGCCAGTCTGCGCAGTCCTGCGGCGGTGAGTGACCCGCGGACCCTGCCCCGGGGAAGGAACTGCGATGGCGGGGACTCAGCGGGGCCCCTCGGGAAGGGCCGGACCGCCGGTGTCCCCCCCGGTCCCCGGGCCCTGGACGGCGCGGCCGTGCTCCCCGACAGCAGGCCTGGCAGGCGTGGGCTGTGCCCGCGAACCTTCATCGCCCCCGCGGCCCAGGCGGGGCACGAGCAGGTGCGCACGGGGCCGCGGCCCTTGGCACCTGGGGGGTGCGGGCAGGCCTTCCTCCTCAAGCCGCAGCTCGCCGCGCACCAGCAGGCCGGCTGCCGCAGGGGCACCCCGGGGCGCGCGCCTCCCGCCCCGCAGGCCGGCCGCCTTGTCAGGGTCCCCGGCCCGAGGGACGGCAGCGTGTGCGCCCAGGGCCGCTCGGCGCTCCTCCCCGAGGGGCCCCTCGCCCGGCACCTGCGGGCCCATGAGGCCGGCGCCGGCCCCCCCGGGCTGCCCCGCGGCAGGACCTTCGCCATCCGCTACCGGCGGCCGCAGGACAGCGCGGGCGAGCGGGCCCACGAGTGCTGTGACTGCGGCCGCACCTTCGCCCGGCGCGCACACCTGGCGCAGCACCACCGCGTGCACACGCGCGACAGGCCCTGCCAGTGCCAGCTGTGCGGGCGCTGCTTCAGCCGCCCCTCCAACCTCACCCAGCACTACCAGCTGCACTCCCAGGGCGGGCCCGGGCGCGGCGGCTGCTGAGCGGGCGCTGCCCGGACGTGGGGAGACTAAGGGGGAGGCCTCGGGCCCTTGCAAAGGTCGTAGCGACCCGGCAGGGCGCGCTGAAAACACCAGCTGCGCGGCCGCGGGGGCGAGAGCGGGCCTCTGGCCAAAGGGACCCCGCGCTCCGGCGGTCACGGGGCGAGACACCCGGAGACTTTGTTGTAGGCAAGACCCGGACAGGCCTGGCCCCGGGCGGGGGCGCGCGGCAGCCGCTTGGCTTTGCCCTTCCCAGCGGAATCCGTGGCGGGGCGCGCCCAGCAGGCAACCTGGCCGCCGAGCTTTTGCGGGAGAGCCCGCGTGACTGGGGGCGTCTGCGGCGCGGGGCGCGTTGGGGGGCGCTGAGGCTGGCTGCACCGTCCCCGCGGGCTGGCGAGCTGGCGGCGCTTCCGGGGCGCCTGGGGCTCCCGCGCCTGACGCGGCGTCTCGGGGAAGGCCTGACCCGGGCAGGGTGTTGGTTCCGTCCCGCAGGTGAAGCGCGTGAGACTCCGGGCCGCCCGCGGGCCCGCCTGGGTCGAGCCGCGGAGGAGGCCGTGGACACCGAGGGCTGTCGCCGCCGCCTCTGGAGACCGCTCGGGCCGCGGAGAGCCGGCCACGCGCGGTGTCGGCCTCAGAAGTGCCCCGCGGGGCAGCCGCTCCTCCGCGGGCTGAGCGCGAGCCGAGGCCCTCGGGGACGCGAACTCGGGCGCGTGTGCGCTGAGCCCGGCGTGCCGGGCCCCGAGGGCGGAGCGCGGTACCCGCCAGGGGAGTCCGGTCGTTCTCCGTCACCGTCGGCGGGGCTCGTCCTTCTTCCTTTCCAAAGCCTGTTTCCAAGCAGCCCGGGGTCTTCTCGGGCGGCGCGAGCTCGGCCGCTTCGCCTCCGCCCCGCGCGGCAGCTCCCTTCTCCCGCAGAGGGGCGCGTCCCGGGTGGCGCCGGGGCCCCTGCCCGCTGCGTCCCGCGTCGTCGCCAGGCTGGCCGTCCCGGGCTTGGACGGGGCCCAGCGGCCGCCCGGGCCTCCCACAGCCGGACCCCTCGCGGGGGGCTGGGGCGCCGCTGTTTCCTCACCGCCCCGCTTCTCACGGCGCCTGCCCGAGGTGACCCCGGGGTGGGTCCCAGCCGGGAAACGAGAAGGACGCGGCTCCCTGGACGCTGCCGCCCCGCGGGGCTCTCGTCCGTGGCTCACGCGGTCCCCGAGGGACTCCCCGCTGCCCGCTCCCGCCGCGGCCCGGCCCTGCCGCTGCGAACTGGGGTCCGGTCCTGCGGCCGCCGGCCCCTCGCTGTCCCGCGGCCCCTGGGGACCCGCCTCGCGCCGCCGCTGCGGTTCTCTGCGGGGCGCCGCGGCCGACTGCCCCGGGCTCACGGAGAACCTGCGGCCTCGGAGGCCACGCCGGTGTCCCGGTCTCCCGCGCCTGCCGCGCTCCCGGCGCCGGCCTGGCCTCCGGGGCTGCTCCTCGCCGTGCTGTCCTGACCGTCTTTCCGGCCGCGTCCCGGCCACAGCGGGTGACCCGGAGTCTCCGGGAGGAAGATCTGTGCTCCCCGCTGTTTAGTCAGCCGGTTATTCACCGCGGCCACAACTCAGCACCGTCCTCTCTCGCGCTGCGCAAGTCGCCCCGGCTCTGGCCCCGAGGGCCCTTCCGAGTGGGCGCCCGTGTCCGCGCAGCTCCTCCGGGTCGCGCTCCCCTGGCCCGGCCCGCGGTGACCCCTCCCCCTGCCCTGGGACTCTCGTGTCTTCCCCCGCCCGTTCCTCACAGCTTGACCCAGGCCCTGGCCCAGCTCGGTCCCTTCACTCTTTGCTTTGCAGGTCGTGCTCAATCCACGCTCCACCCGCGTGGTGGTTTCCTCAGTACCTTTTCTTCCCGTCGCCTCATCTCTGGTTTTCAAAACTCCGACGCGTACGTGAAAGGCAGAACTTTCAGTCACCTCCGAGCGCTTTGTACCCGGCCTCCCTCAGCCCCTCCGGGCGCTCGCCGGGCCGTCCTGCGTTCAGCTTCTCTGTTTCTTTCATGTGTTGTAAGCTTGGTGCGCGCGGTTATGCCATGAACACACTTTCCTTGAGGGTTAGAAAACAACATGGGGCCTCCCTGGGGGCGCAGGGGCGACAGCACCACGAGGCTGTCCGCAGCCGCTGCAGCACATGCCCACAGGGCGCAGCAGGCCTCCCCCGTCTCCCCGCTGCTCCCCCCAGCTGTGGGTTTCAGTGGAGCCCCCTGTTCTGCTCCCCGCTCTGTCTCTGGTGGATCCTCTCACCCCCACACCTCTGGCCTGTACCCCAGCTCTTGTGTGCATGATTAAATAGATCTTTTTTTAAAAAAAGAAAATAACGTGTATTTTTTCTTCATCGACTATTTCATATTTTCCTCTTCCGGATATTCCTGCTGCTAAAACGGGTCACCTCTAGGCAGCTCCCTGGGCGTGGACCCACAGGGATTTTTAAAATGCGATGTTTTAGATGGAATCGCACCGTTAACATCGCCCCAAAGGCGGCCATGTTTTATTCTGATACATCCATGCCCACAACAGACCCCAAGTGTCTTCCCTCAGCCCCGCCTTCCGCCTGTTTGTGTAGATGAGCCCCAATTCATTTCACTAACCCTCGAGGGTCGGAGACGAGTGGCTTGTAATGTGTCCCCCGGGTGCCTCTTCCCCGTCACCTCTTGGGCCCAAGCGTCTCCCTCGCGCGGTGCTCCTGTCCCTGCACACGGCCTGGGGAGAGGCCCCGGGCCCAGCGTGTGTGCATCCGAAGGCTCTGAGAACCATCGGCCTGTGCCTGACGGTCCCGAGCGGTCCCCCGGGCGCGGCCGGCAGGGTCTGAGGTGAGCCCTGGAGGGAGGCCCTGCCCGGGCGGAGCAGCCAGCGCACCGGCTTCCCCCGCCTCTCCCTGACGCCCCAGCCCAGCGGGGGCCACGGGTCCCACGTCCCCCACACGTGCGCACCCCGCTCGCCTGCTGCCTTCCCCGATCTTATTTTCTGTGTGGAAACAAGAGCCCTCCGGGCCCCTCAGTGCTCCGCACGGGGCCCCTGAGCCGTCTTCCCCGTCGCGCCGCTCGGCCCACCAGCCCCGAAAGTCCCCCCTGCGGAGCTGTGGGGGGCACTCACCCTCACAGGGGCCGCCCTCCTCTGCGAGGCTCACGCCCGCCCGTGTTGGCGCGGCGCCTGGGGAGCAGGCTGGTTTCGGGGTGCCGGCGCCTGTTCGCCCTCCCGCCTGTGTTGCCTGTTGTCACGGTTCATCGTCCTGACGCTGGTGCTCCCGCCGCCCGGGGCTGGACAGGGTCTTCCCACTGTGGCTGCGCCGCCACCCGGGGCTGCCGGGTCCCCTCCGCGGGCTGCGGGGGGCCCAGACCTGCCGCGCGGCTCTGCCGTCCGCCCGCCCCCTCGCTGTCGCGGCCACTGCATCGTGACGGATGTGCGCCCCTCAAACCGCTTCTCAGAGTTCAGGTTTCCACAGGGACGGGCTCGGATTGATTCCACTGAAGGGAACAGACGGCCGGGTCGGGCGGGGGTCGCTGGCCTTACGCTTCCTGACGCTCGCGCCCCTGAGCCCCTGCACCCCTGCGCTCCTGCACCCCTACACCCCTGCGCCCCTGCACCCCTGCGCCCCTGCGCCCCTGCACCCCTGCGCCCCTGGGCCCCCGCACCCCTACGCCCCTGCACCCCTGCACCCTTGCACCCCTGCACCCCTGCACCGAGCGGCCTGCGCCGCGCTGGTGAGCCCGGCCTGCTCCGCCACCCTCTCGGCTTCGGGCTCTGCGCCGCGTCCCCTCCGCCGAGCCGGTGGTGCGCGTCCCGCCTTGACTGTGTCCTCGGGCCCGTAAGGGCAGTGACTGCGCCTTTCCTGGCGGCTCTTGGGCAATTCTCTTTCCTCTCTGCGTGGTCTGTGGTTTGGTGGACACTCTCTTTAGACCACACAGAAAATTCATTTCACCAAACGTTTCTGCAGTTTGGCGTTTTCTTTGAGATTATTTTTGACAAGGTTTTAATTTGAACACGGCTGGATCCCGGTTTTTCTTACCAAGTCGGCCGCAGAATCGAACCTGTGAGACATGAGTGTTTCACTCTGCAGTTTTTATTATTGTATCTAAATGTGCTTGGCCGCTGGAATCCACTTTGATGCATCTTGGAAAGAGGTGGCATCGGTTATTAAACAACGCATACGGTCCTATTATTATTTTGTAGTGTCAGCCCTATAGCTGGGCCAGCTCATTGACTTGTCACCTTCCCGTATGCTGGATGTGTTATTTTTAATTTTTACATCTTGTATTTAATGAGTCTTAAAGTGCCTTCGAAGTGTGTGTATATATTTTTTAAAGTATAAGCCTTTTTTTTTAAAGATTTATTTATGCATACAAGAACTGGGGCGCAGGCCACAGGTGTGGGGGGGTGAGAGGACTCCCCAGAGACACAGTGGGGAACAGAACAGGCAGACTGACTGAAATCCGCTGCTGAGGGGAGCAGCGGGGAGACAGGAGAGGTCTGCTGCGCCCTGTGGGTAGCCCCCTGGCCGGGGATGGAACCCGTGCTGCAGAGGCTGCGGACAGACTCACAGCGCTGCACTCCACCTGCTGCGCCACCAGGAAGGCCCCAAAGTGTGTGTTTTTATGGAAAGACAGAACTTTGTTATTCTTTCAATTGAAAATTTGTGCATACATTAAAAAAACCTCTCGCTGACCACCAAAGTGAACTCCTGCCTGGCTTCGGGGAATAAACACTGTTGGTTTAACCCCAGGAGCGGGACACCGTCGCCCCCTGTCCGCGGTAGCCCCGCGCGCCTCCAGGTCCCGTCCTCACACCGTGGCGGCTGTCCCTCCTGGCGGTTGCCTGTGCGGGGCTCTGCGACATTTCTCATCCGAAGCCAGCATCCCAGGAAGGGGTCCCCTCAACATCGCCCCACCAGAGGCTCTTGGGAGGCTGCAGAGGCTCCCGAAATGTTGCCGAAAACCGTGGGGGACAGTCGGAGGTGCGCGCAAGCTTGGGGCGGGCTGGGGAGCTGCACGCCCCGCCCTGGACCCCAGCGGGAGCCCCCAGCACCGACAGCGGCGGCCTGGCGGGTCCAGGCTGGGCCCGGCCACCGCATCCCAGTTCGCTCCCGGTGGGACGCTGAGGGGGACGTGCAGGACCCGCCGCCCGGGCGCCTGACCCCCTCGGCCTTTCAGTACACGACAGGCTTGGGCGGGGCCGCGCTGCAGCGCCCGCGGTGGGCGCAGGCCCAGGTCCCGGCCCGTGGGGGGGACGGAGGACGGGCGACGGGGCGGGGCGTCCAGCCAAAGGACCTGCTGCCGCCAGACTGGATCTGTCGAGAGGAGCGGGGGGCGCCGCACCTGTCTGGGGGCGCCGCGCCCCAGGCCAGCAGCCGAGCAAGGCCGCGCTGTCGGCCCAGGGGCCCAGACCTCGGGCCTCCGGCCGGGAGCCACCAGCTCCGCCACTCGTCACGGCAGCCCGGGACCCGCGGGCTGCCAAGCGCAGGGCAGGCCCCGCCCCAGCAACCCCGGGCCCGCGCCCCGTGACTGCAGGAGCCCTGGGGGGCCGTGGAAAACGAGGCTCGGGGACCCCGGTGTAAGGCCAGGGCGGCCCGGACTCCTGGGGCGAGGCGCGCCTGGGCCCGTGCGGAGAGGCCCCCCCTGCTGCTCGCGCGCCCCGAAGGCGCCCCGGACCTGGAGGGTGACGCCCGGCCGAGGTCACACAGGCACCTGCGGGCGCGCACACGCCGGACAGAGCGCGCCTGGCGCACCCCTGCGCACGCGCCCGGAGCAGGTGCACGCACCTGGCTGCACGCGCAGGGCGGGGCGGACGCAAGCCGGCGCCCCGCCCCCGCCCGGCGCCCCGCCCCCACGCCGCCGCCCCGCCCACAGCCCGGACGCCCCGCCCACAGCCCGCCGCCCCGCCCACAGCCCTGCGCCCCGCCCCCACGCCGCCGCCCCGCCCACAGCCCGGACGCCCCGCCCCACGCCGCCGCCCCGCCCTCAGCCTGGACGCCCCGCCCCCACGCGGAAGCGGAAGTGCCCGCGGGCGCGGGGGTCCGTGAGAGGCGCTGTCCTCGAGCGTCGCCGTCGAAGGTTCTGGAACGCGGCTGCCGCGTGGGCTGGCGGGCGCGGCCGAGCGGGGCGGCCCGGAGCCCAGCAGGTGAGCAAGGGTGCGCGGGCGGGGCGCCGTGGCCGCGCTGGGGACCCCCGCGAGGGCTGGGAGGGCGGGCTTGGGGGGCGGCCGGGCCCGAGGGTGCTGCCCCGAGGCGGCAGCGTCTCCCCCAGCGCCCCGTCCTGCCGCGTGTGCTCTGACCCGGGAGGGGCGTCCGACGGGGGGTTTCCGGGGGACGGGCCGCCCCCACGCCCGCCGCTCCGGGCTCGCTGCCGTTTGTGTCCGGGGTCCGGCCCGACGCCACAAGCCGGGGTGCGCGGCGGGCCCGCCCTGCCCGCGGAGACGGGGGTGGGGTGGGGTGGGGTGGGGTGGGGTGGGGGGTGGGGTGGGGTGGGGGGC